ATACATTCCTGGTTGTTGGTAGTAGTCCAAAGACCCTGATCTCTTGATGGTAAACCCGTGGTCCAGCTGAGCAGAGAGAAATGGGGGCAACTCAGTGGATCGACATTGAGCTAAAGAATTAAGACTCCAGACGAAGCTGTTGTTCATTGACTATCTACGTATATAGAGTTACGGTGCTTTTCTGCAGGGTGACTAGCTAATATCCTAAATCTGCACATTGAAAATTAAAAGGCAAGAAAAGGCACTGATTCCTCATGAATCTCTGAAGCCAATTTGTTAGAATAGATCTGATTTGTCAAACAAGTTTTTGAATGCAAATTTAATAATGTCCTCTCATTTCATAGGCTAAGAATGGAAAATAGTTGACATTTAGTTAAAGCACTGAAATCAGCTTTTGCCACCAAAGAGAAAGCAGATTGGATCTCCCTCCAAAATCTTACCCCATCAGACTTAAATTTGAGGACTTCATAAATAAGAAATAAAAAATGAAAATGATCAAGTTTTGAGCCCCTATAAATCATAGCAATTTGGATTTCTTTCCTTAAGCATTCGTCTTCAAAAGCAGAATTACTCTCAAGGTGAATCTTAATTACATTTCTGAACTGAAAGGATTTAATATAAAATGGTTAATTTTCCCTATGAAAACATAGAAAATAAAAGGAAAATTTTTCATTGTGTATTAAAAACGCATATGTACAATTATTGTTTATGAGTAACAAAAGGTACAGTAAATACCAGATAAATTCTCAAAGTAATTCACCCTCCTATTCCAAGCTACCTTGGAATAAAAGACTCAACCCCCAAATTTGAAAAACAATAATCACGCTCTGTGCCCACTCCCCACTTCGGCTGGTGACAGGAAGCAACCTACACACTATTCTTTAGAGAGAGGCTCACGAGTGCTTTCAAGTGTGGTACTGGTGTGATACTGGTGACAGTTTCCACTTCTAAATTCACAAAGGCATTTTAAAAATATACTAGGCACCCGGCAACTTAACTAAAAACTGCGCAGAGGATTTGGTATTCTGATTATAAACTGGGCCATCCTACTGTTCATGGAACAATGATGTGAGATTTTAATCTTTTTTTAAAAAGTACATTTCATTTTATTTAGGAAAAAAACATCAAAGTACATTTGCTGTTAGGAAGACCTAGGTAATCGGTTTCAGTCCATGAAAATGGCTACTAAGTAAACTAGTTCTCTACTGCCACCTACAGGCAAAGGGCCTCATGACATAGCATGCAGGACGCCTAGAGACTTTAGAACTAAGCCTCCCAGTATCACAATTATTTGCACACTGATTAGTATGGATTTGTTCAATTAGACTGAAATGTTCTATTTGCATGAAAAAATGCAAAATAAGAACTTTAAAGCATTAGGAAAATTATTGGTTAAAATAATAAACAGCATTAAATGAGGAAAAATAAATTGGAACTGACATCTTAGTCATCGGTTCTTCATCAAGCTGAGCAAATCTAATAATGCCTCCCTCCCCTCCCTCAGCTCTCAAGAAGTCCACCGTTAAAATGTCATCTCTAATTCCATTTTATGTCTGTAAATTGCATTTTAATAACCTTTTGTTTCCCTTTCTCTGTTCTGTTCTGTTTTGTTTTCATAATCCTCCAACTACTGGGAAAGGTAGCAGAGGGACAATGGACTCTTTCTAAGAGGCAGAATGTTGCAGCTGTGTGGACAGCAATGGGTTTCCCTCTGATCACACTGCCTGACCTAAATGTCGGAACACCTTTCCTCTTTTAGAGGAGCCAAAGGGTCCTTATGAGCCTCCAGGTGACAACTCTTATAACCTACATATAAAGTTACCATTTGCCCTTTCTTTGGTCTTAATAATGTAGAGGGCAGGATTGAGAGGGAAAAAATGGCAATACAAACAAAACAAAACACTAAGATTCACAACCATGAGCGCATGTTAAGCCATGCTCATGCCATAAATTACGCCTGTGACTTGTCCGTCTGTTGTGACAGAATGCTCTTTTTACTTTTGTAACTCTAAAAGAGAAAAGGTGTCATGAATTCCTTTAGAAGCATCTTTGATCTCTAGTAGGTAGTTAGGTTTCTAGGTAAGGAGAGACACTAGTTAAAACTAATGATTTAATTGTTGATATTCTGAACAACAACAAAACCACCTGATAGTCCATGGTAAACAGTGCTTTAAATAAAAAGAAAAAAAAAAACTTAACAGGCATATATAACTTACCAAAAAAATAAATCTTATGATTGGGGTATCTTAAAATAATCAACCTTATTTTATAGGCTCTGTGAGTACATACTTGTCCATAGCAAAAAAAAATCTGCCTGAATTAAATGTATGCTGAAATAAGGTTTTTCTTTATAGAGTAGAAGTCATTACAGTATTAGATTAGTTACAGTGATCTGATCACATAGGTGACTTAATAATTCTATTGCATCATTAAATTGCCATGTGGTCTTTACAGAATACATCATTTATGAAGCATGTGCCTTTACCGACCACTTACAACAGAATATCATTCTTTGCAGTCAATTCTTCAATTTGAGATAAAATATTATTTAATGCTAGGCCTCCTTTTTCTTGTGATAGTCCCCTGAGATTTACACTTTGTACTTTAGGAATGGGAACACAATTATGGCATAGACACTGACTTAGCAGGTGCTGTTCTGAAATTTCATAGCAAAGGTGGCTAAACTGGCTGGTGTCTAATCCCAGCTATAGCTACAAGGTCTTAAAAAGGGTGTGAAAATTGATGAGGAATAACATTTTGGAGAAGGTGCATACATGTTCATGTTATGGAAGACCAGTTTTGCTGAAACAACTCCTGGTTTTTATAGCAGTACTTCCCCACATGCTTAAAGTATTAAAAATAGCAGTTAACATGTGAATTGTTCTCTAGAGTTGCCAAGGTGTTTTTTCAGCTATTTCTCAAATAGCCAATTATTTTGAGTCACAGCAATCTGACAGAACATTTTAAAACTTCATAGTGAATAAAGATCACAGCATTCTAAAACCCATTTTATAATTTATAAATATAGTGCCAGTTTGTAGAGTTTCCATGGAAACATGTCAGTGATGGACTGAGAAACTGATATTCCACTGCATTCAAATAGTCCAATTGAGATATTTAAACAAATTAACAAACAAAAATAACAGACTTTTGATCTTGAGATTCTAACTGGAGGTCTTGGCGGTCTACTTAAAAGTTTTAATAAACTATATGGATTAAGCTTCAGAATCTATCCAGGTTTGATGACAGTTGGTTTCCCCTCAAATCTGTGTTAGCTGCCCATTGGAAATTGTGCTGAAGTTCTGCTCTTAGTCAGAAGACTCCCAGAATACTGTGAACAGACCATTTTCGAGCAACCATGGCAAACTAAACCAAGGACTAATCAAAATAAAAGACCAAGGAAAACAAAAGCAAAAACAAATGACAGAAGTGGAAAAGCATCCCTTCTAGCAGCTGTAAGCTGTCAGCAGGAGCAGAAAGCAGCCCTTTTCATGGACAAGCGTGCTGGCAGTCGATTCCAAAGAAAATTATGGAGGTAGACATTTTGGAATAGACTTCTAGTTTGAATGAATAATGCAAAGACAGTATAGCATGTCTGGTTTAGTGGAGAATCACCATGGGATTGTTATGTTAAAAAATTATTGACTGAATATTAACTGGTAACAAAGAACACTGACGATCTATGGAAGACGTGAAGGACAATGTACTTTACATTGGTTTTCCTTAGAAAGTAGTCAAGAGAGAGGACAGAACAACTTGTAAATTTAAATCCTCAGCAGCACCGAGGAGCATCGGAAAGAGTATGCCTCTATGTATACTGCCAGTGTACTCATGAGCCAATTACTTATACTCACAGAACTCATTGTTGAAAGTGTTCAATCAAAAAAGGTGCAATACTAACAATTCGAGAAAGTGCACACGTTCATTGGTGCCACCTGCAAATTCTGAAAGCTCCTATCAAATATTTAGTGACCCAGATCGGGGAATGGTTGTACAGGAAATGCCATTTATATTTAACTTTTATGGGAGCCCTAGCATAACCAAAAACGATAACTGTAAAGCAAACAAAGAGACCCGTAGATGTGGTTAAACGTTCAGTATTGCTCATAAGTATGAGGCACTGTTGAGCAGCATAAATACTTCGTACAATTCGACAGCACCGTGTCGAAGTTCTTTGTTTAGAAAAGAAACAGCTCAAGTGACTTCACATTGAATATGCTGTTAAAATTTACATACTCTGTAAAAAGAGGAAATTATTAAACACTCAAGTAATCTGGGACTTGAATATATTTACTCTAGAATATGACACCAGGAAGTCTGAGGTTTCATTATTTCTCTGCCCAATTTAATCTTTGCCTAGAGCTGCTATCAAATTGCATGTAGTGTGTGTCTGCATGTACAGAGCAGAAAATGAAAATGCTTGTGCAGCCGCATCAATAAAATGGTAAATGTTAAAAGACTTTCAACTTTAAAAACAGAAATTTCTAAGGAGCACGACATGGTGATTTTCTTTGGGTGTTCACAGCAATTCAATTTCACTGTAAATCTTACTGGGTAAGCTTTCTGCTATGCTTTGGCTTTCATTTAGGTCTCCTGCAAAGATCTAGAGTGTCCCCGTCGCTCTCTGCCATGTCTCTCTCAGCTTCCCTTCCCTCCCAGGTCCTGGCAAAAGGACACTATAAACTCTTTTGCTCAGAGTCCAAAAGTTTGCATTGGCAGAGTCCAGTGTGGGGGCGGATTTCTGTTTTAAAAAATAAATCATGAAATTAATATATACAGCAAGACACCCTGGAGGTGTTGGATAATGATGTGACTCCCAGGGAAATGATCAGTGCAAACACTCACACAACTAAGCTCCAAACCTCCCTCGGTGCGTTAAATGGCCTAGCTGTCTAAAGAAATGACCCATTCTGCTATCTCTGGGTGGAGTCTCCTGAGGAATGCCTGTCTCTTAGGTGGGTTGCTTTTAAAAGTTATAGGTGGATATTTCAGATGCTTACTGCTATGACAGAAACTCCAGCGGCTGTGCTATTCGGTTTGGGGCCTGTGTTGAAATGTTTCTTTATCTTTCCAGCTACTGACAGTTGATGCTCATTTTCTGGGAGGCCGTCATCCTGGGGGAAAAAGATGGGAGAAAAGGAAAAAGAATGAGATAAATGCAGCCCAGATCTTCTACTAACGGCAGTGATTTTAAAATCTTGAAAATTTCAGAAATAAACTGATGAGTACCTTCTCACTTAACATCGCGGCTGGATGGTCTGCTCCAAGGACTCGTTTATTTCCACGTCTGCTCTAAAATTCATTCACTATGTCATTTGACCCTCAGAGATTTGTCTCTGAATAAAAATTTTAATTTCTGTTTTGGGTTTCTAGTAAAATCTATTTTAGCCAAGGTTCTAAGGGCATAACGTCAAAGAGCAAGTTAACGCCCTACCTCCTCCATGTCCCCAACCTGTTAGTTTATCTTCTTAGCTCATCATTCAGACCCAAAGCCAACGTATCTGACAGACCTGGGCTCATGCATGACTCCATATATAAGCATAAGTTGATTCCACAGCTAATCAGTCCATCATATTCTGGAATCCCTGGCAACCTTCCAAACAAGAAGTTCTTCTTTAAGTTTTAAATCCTGCTTGCTGCCTTCAAATCACCTTTATTATGACATATTTCACATTGGAGCTCATTTTAACTAAGGCTTCTGCTCTCCACCGGAAGCTTCTCTCCTTTGCTAAATATTGTTAGAATAACAATAAGCAGAGTCACATGTATGTGCCACCAACCGCTAGTTTGTGATGAAAAGGCTACACAATCTTTGAAGACAGGGACTGTATTTTGTTCTCTATTGGATCCTCAAGTCTTAGCACAGTGTTTTGGCACAATGTGTAGCTTAATAAACATTTATGGAAAGAATGAATGGATAATAAAGATTTTGCTACTGTCTAATAAAATCAAAATCCCTGGCAAGACTTCAGTATCATTCATCACTCCCCTTGTGTCCATCATTTTGCATGCAAGTTCTTGGCTCTACTCAGGACAACAAAATTGCTGCTTTCCAGGCACAACCTGCTTGTACTTTTGTATAATCTGGTCTCTCCACATGGAAATTTCTACTTCTTTCAGTATTTGGCTACTTATTTAATCAGACAGTATTAAATCCACGTTTAGAGAGTACCAGGCACCATTACAGTGATAGTGAGGAAGTGATGGTAAGCAAAATCAAGCATAAGACTCTCTGACTCCTCCTCTTCTTCCAACCACGGGCCCAAGTCACCTATCCCAAAACATTAAAATGACCTTTACTGTTTTTACATTTGATGCATGTATATAAAGACATATGCATACATACACATATATGAACTATTAACATTCATTTTTACTTATAGATCTGAATTCTTGTTCTTTGTGCCACATCTTCCATGTCTTTAATCTTTAATATGTTTGGTTTAGTGCCCTGTGCACAGTGGATTTTCAATTTATTAGTGAAATAGTTATCAAGTTTATAAAGTCACTTTAGAAACCAAACCTGGAGTAGGAGGTTTTCCAAAGACACAGAGTGAAGACGATGAAAAAATCTGTATTGTGGAAAGAGTCAGAAATGAAGTGCAGGAACATTAGGGTGATAGTGTGATGATACTTGAAGAGGGGGAGCAGAGACAGGGACATAAGATGTCTCTACAATGTCCGGGGTCCTGTGAGGGGTAGTAGGAAGTGGAAGAACAAATGGTCTCTGCTCATCAGAATCCTTCGGGCTAGTTGGGAGATAAAGTATGCAGATACCACACCAAATAATAAAACAGGTCATGTGAAGAAAGCGTTGTCACAGGCACCACAGCCTCATGGCCTGGCTGGAAACACTGAAGGATTTCAGAGAAGAGAGGACTGCTTATCAGTTGTGCAGTTCTCCTAGACTGCATGAGGGCTGTGGGATTCACGGTCTTAGTGATGGTGTCAGCTGGCGGAGAAATTGGAAGGGGATGTGTGTGACTGGGAAACACAAGTCATATTGGCCAAACTATGCATCTACCATGCATCTCTAGTTAGGTGTTTATGTGGGAGAGTAATGACAGGGAAAGCTGAGCGAACAGGAAAGGACTGGTCACAAATGAATGCCTAAGAGATTCAGAGATTGAAGCCTTCATCTCTGTTAGGAATAAAGCTCCTTACCAATGAGGTCATGTTGGTTTGCAAAACTATCTGCCATTCCTTGTGATTATCATCCAAATTCTTTCATTATAGGGTAGGGAAGTAGATACTAGCCTGTCAAAACATCTGAGTTAAGGGAGCCCTCTGCACTTCCTACACTTACATGCTGCTGGTTATCCCCCAATTCTTCCAAACCAGCTTCTGATCCTAAGACCCATATGTATATGGTTTTTTTTTTGTTTGTTTGTTTGTTTTTGTTTTTTTTTTTGGTTTGTTTTTGTCCTAAAGCGAAAAATCCTTTCTTCTTGATTCTCGATCAAACTGTTTTGCATCTAAAGAACATACAAAGCATTTTGCCTGAGATATCCTGAAATGCTTTTAATACATGATTAGAAGAACATGTATGATATCTTCAGGGTGAAGTTCGGTGGGGGCACCCTTGTATCAGGCTTCCCCATCCAAAAAGATGTCCAGGGCTTGCTAGAGATACGCTACTAATACTTTTGAGACTTTCATGGAGCCAGGGAAGCAATAGGAGGTCAGTACAAGGGAGACTGAGCCATACAGAGGGCCCAGGGGATTGTACTTAGAAACTTCCATGTCAAGTAGAGACTGGGGACCCTGTAATCTGGGAGCTAGCAACATGAGCTCATAGGGTCAGGACTACTGAATCCTGTGTGTGTGTGTGGAACAGACAGTGACGGAAAGCCTGACTTACACTGGATAAAACAGAGCTGCACTGGCCCACAGTGGGCCTGTCAAAGATACAGGCTGTGACTAAAAACCTCAGTGTAAATGTGGAGACAGTAATCAGCAGTTATCCAAAGGAACATCCTCACTTAACTTACTGAAGGGCATTCAGCCTTTTCTGCACAATTCTGCTTCCTTCTCAGTTCCACACCACTGTCATTTTTGCCAGAAATTTCCCTTTACCTGTCTTCCTCCCACCCCCAAAGACCTCCTCCCCCACCAATTCTTGAGGTAACAGTTTGTTTCTCACCATTCTCACAATGGACACTGTTATCCCTTCCCTGCCCTGTCCTGGTCCTAATCGCCTGTCAAGACTCCTAGCAACTCTTTTAGATGTTGGGGCCTAGGGGGCTCAGGCCTCCAGCTTTAAATTCTAGTGAAAGTTTGAGCTTCCCCTGGGTTATTAGTTCATGTAGAAGCAATGAAAGTAGTGAAACAACCCTTACAACTTGTCAGAGATGCTTTGGATTTCATAAATCCTAAAACATTGCAAGATGGTTTTTCCAGTAAGGGATTTCAACTAGAGAGTATCGCACACACATACACACACATACACATAGCACAACAACTAGAAAGTATAAAGAACTGTATCAATTTCAAAGGCTTTGAGCAGAGCTGGATTAAAAATACAAACAACTGGCTTTGCGGGGACCCAATCTGTACGTGAGCTACGTGGATTGTTGATGGAGCTTCAGCAAACTTACTGTCTTACATTAATACAGTAATGGGGCCATTAATAACAAAAAATATATTTATATCTTTATCACTGTTATTTGGAATAGATTATGAGCCAAAAATGTGCTATGAGTTTGAGAAACGTGACAAACTTGGCAATATGTTACAAACTCAAAGTATTATTACCATAGACTTTAGTATGTACTTTCTGGGAGTAGTTTCTGCAGTTTGACAGGGGCTGATTGTGGTTTGAGGTTACCGGGTTTTGATTTAGAAATTCCCATCCACCACTTGGCAAAGCATTGCAAATGACAAGAACAAAATTAGTTTACAAAACGGAAAATGAACTCTCACAGCTGTCTGAAAGAGACCAGTTTCCTGGTTCCCATTTCTTGGGCGGATGTTGGAGAGAAGCTGTGGGAAGGGTGTGGGGGGTTCAGGAGTGAGGTTGCCCTGTACAGTGAACCCCTTTCCTTGAGGAAACCATTCAGTGGTCACATTTTAGAAAATCCTCTTCCCTTTGTGGATTTTTGTCTTTGAATGATGGATCTGTCCTATTCATTGCCAGACTATGATGACAAAAATCTGTAAATTTATGAGAAGCATGGCAGTTTTGAAAGGTTTACTACCAGAAGATTCAGATTTAGTTTTAAAACAACCCCGAGTACATTTGAGTGCTCTTTAAGAGAAGTTACATTTCACGTCCCAGTGTGTAACCCTCCACTCTTGTTGATCACCCCAGGGGTATATACCCCTTGCAGCCTGCAGCCAGGGACCTGTGACTCTCTTTCTCTGCATTTTACACTGCAGTTGGGCAGAGAATATAAAGTAAATGAAGATCTACCTTGAAGAAGAGAGGGGATAAGATGCCCAGATGGAAAGGGGAATTCTATGTCATGTACAGTTTTTCATATAGATGACAGATGAATATTTTTATTTATTATTACAGTATCACTGGGGTCCTGTAATTTCTAACAAGTTCTGCTGGCACAGAAAGATGGGTGTTTATGTATTTTTGTCGAGCAAGGCTGGTTTTTATTAGCATGGAATATTTTGGTAGCTTATCTAGGTTCTTGTTTTTTTTTTCTCCCTCTTGTTCTTTGTGAATGGCTTGGCTTAGAAGTTATCTTTTCAAAGTAGAAGGTAGATGAAATAAGGGAGGAAAAAGAAAATTTAAAGGCCAGGAAGATATAGGAGGGCTTGAATCAGTTAAATACTTGCAGTGGGTTTATTCAAATCAGCCCTTTCCACTAAGACAGAGGTTTTCAAACGTGGTTTCACATTATAATCACCTGGAAGAGTTTACAAGTCCCAATGGTCAGTTGGCAGAGCAATATCAATTATATCAGAGTCTCTAGGGGCATAACTCAGGCATGGGACCTTGTGCTAGACACGGCACTGAGCTTTCTGCTGCAGACTTTGAGTCCCGGTTTCCTTGTCAGTAAGCTCAGAAAAATAATTGAAGGACAAAAATAAATTTGGAGAATAGCATTGATAAAGTAGCAGAAGAATAACATGAGATAAAATAAGTCAACCCTTTCAAATAAAAATGCAATCACAATAATATATTTGATATATATTATGTAATATGTATATATTATGGTGGTGATAACTTACAAATCACGAACAAGAAAATTTTTTGGAAATCTCAATGGAGATTATGTGCTTATCACTAATGTACATTTGCTATCAGTAAACGTGCCAACTGGGAGAAAATGATTAAATCTTGTCCTAGTCTCTGGAATGATCAAGGTCTTTATTACCAATCTTAGTCTCACATAATATGTGCCTAAATCACATCATTCTCCATTAGATGAGTAATAAGGTAAATAAACTTAGCTAGGACAATTCCTACTGGTATTTTGTAGCTACATTAAAGCAAATGGTTGTGATATTATAAAGTTGATAATATATGAATTAATGAGATGAAGCTTGAAGTACACACAGGATTGTTTTTTAGAGGAGGGGTCTTGTTCTTTAATCAAGCTTCTCATATGTCAACTTTAATCACAGTTTGCATTTTATCAGCACATAGATGAGAGTGGTTGCCTCAGACTCAAACTCACCATTTATTTATGTACCTATGAAGTACTAGCGCTGAAGACTGTCTTCTCGGGATCTTCAAATATATAATTCTCTCTTCATCTTCATCCTCACAGCAATCTAAGAGACAGATACTACTCTCTCCATTTCACAGACAGTTTCAAAGGAGTAAAATGACTACCCCAGGTCACACCCTAATGCTGCCTTGTGGGAACCATCCACTGAGACACCATGCTCAAAACTCTCCCAACAACAGAGCAGAAACCCAGCACACCAAGAAGTACATTGGGATTTACAGCCAGAGAGAACAGAACATCAACATGAGCCCAGGGGAAGCCCCTGGAGTAAGGTTATCATAAGTGGCTTCTGCTGGCAATATTATTCAATTTCACTGCCCTATGCTCTACTTTGCTTCCTAAGAGAACATCTTCTCAATCTTAACTGACCCAAGGTGAAAGGAACAAGCAATGAAGAAATGAGTAATCACAGAAGACTCTCTGATGACTCCTCAGAACCCCTATAATTATTGTTAGCCTTTCCCCCTTATGTAGTGTTCTCTGTGGTAATCATATAATTTGATCAGCAAAAGTGAAATATCTTGGCTTGTTAAATGACCTTTCAAATTCCTAATGTATTTATTTTGATTGCTTGGTTGTTCATTTGTTAAATTCACAGACAGCAACTATCAATGCTGAAAGCTTACATGTGTATTTTTTTTTCATTTGTTATTTTGAGACAAAAAAACCCCTTTTTTCCTGATTTAGTTAATACTATATAAATAAAAGTGTAAAAGTTAAGCAATAACTTTACTCATTACATTTTAAAAATGTATTTGCTAAACTCAATATATATTTTCCCTTTATAATCTAAGGTCTTTTCAAATTACAAAGGACAATTTTGGGTTCTTCCTGGTGGTGCAACAAGTTAAAGCACAGCACTATGAAACTGTCCACAGCCACTGCAGCATAGGTTCCATCCCGGTCAGGGAGGTGACCCACATGGTACAGCAGACCTCTCCTGTTCCACCCCCTGCATCCCTCAGCAGTGTATTTCAATTAATCTGCCTGTTCTGCTCCCCACTCTGTCTCTGGTGAATCCTCTCACCCCCTGCACCTCTGGCCTGTCCCTTGTTCTTGTACGAATAAATACGTCTTTAAAAAAAAGGACAATTTTTAGTTTTATATCTCCTAAGTTATTTTTAACATGTTATCTTTGCTTTAACTATACTTAAATAATCTGAAAGGGAAAATAAAATGATAGTCGTATTCACATCCAGAAGGAGCTATGGAATATAATTATGACAGACAGTGGGCCACATGTAAAATGGTGTACAAAACAGATTAGGAAGGGAAAGAGAGACCACTGAGATATGTAGATCGCTTCCTGGAAGCAAGAACTACTTAGTTTTTCAGAGGTAGCAGCCAGGGTCTTATGAATTTTGCTTCTTTACCCCAGTAAGTGGGATATCATTGATATAGAGCTGTTAGTTTAAACTCAGGATAAAGGATTATGCTGTCCCCCAGAGCTTTCTAGTCCCTTGTGTGTATAGATGTTTGTTTACACTCATGAATCTAGACATATTTGTAAATAAATCTAGAAAATATTCCCATCTTCCTGGATATCTCCCTCCAAGCTTCCTCCAGCATGGAAGTCTGACATCTCCTCCAGGAAGTCTTCCATGGCCCTTCCTCACCATGATCTCTCTCTATAGAGCCCAGCTGGAGTAGCCGTTCTCCCATCTTGTGGGGCTGGTTGTATCAGACAAAATTACTGGAGAGCAGACCTGGCAGGAAATAATCCTCCTAATGACAATGGATTTAAAAATCCAAAATGACTCTTTGCAATCTTCTATTAATTCCTTTCTTCCATGGTTCTTTTTGAAACTTCAAAGACCCTGTTTCAAATTCAGATTTTCTGGTTTATTCTCTGTGGTCACAATGTCAGTCTTTCTAGGGACAATGTGTAATTTGACAATTTGTGGACCATGGGCTTTTAATTAGCATCAATGAGAACCAAATGCTGCCACCAAGAGAGTCTGTGGCTGGCTTGTGTCTCTTCCACCCTGCACTTCTAAGGGAAAGGCACTATGACCTGGGTCAGTTACTGCGGAAAGGTTGCTAACTTGTATGAACAACCACTATAATGATGGCAATGTACATATTGCACTCTTCTGCAATCTTCACATGACGTCTTGTATAACAAAGGAAGGTAGAAAAAGTGTGATACACGGACTTCATATGACATAGGCTTAGAGTTGGAGATATCCAGCTGCAAATACTGCCTCCATCACAAATCTTTGGGAAGTCACTCTGGGCATGCATGGGATGCTTCTTAAACATTCCCACGTCATGGAAGGTAATTTTTGTTTAACACCCTGGAGCAAATGTAAAGGTGGCTGAGGTTCAAGTGACTATTGGTGGGCTCTGGCCACCCTGCTTGGTTTGTCTTTGCAGCCTGATAGGATTATTATCTGTTCATTTGTATATCATTTGGGAAGTTCTAGTATAAAACATTGTGAAAAACCTTTGGGCCCTCCCTCGTGGTGCAGCGGGTTAAAGCACATCACTAAGAAGCTAAAGCCACTTTAGCATGAGTTCAATCCCCACCCCGGAGGTGATCCACATGGTGTAGCAGACCTTTCCTGACCTGCCCGCTGCTCCCCTCAGCAGTGGCCTGTTCTGTTCCACACTCTGTCTCTGGTGAATCCTCTCACCGCTCCTGCACCTCTAGCCTACACCCCATTTCTATATGCATAAATAAATAAATCTTAAAAAAAAAAAAACTTTACTGCATTTTTGTGCATATTCACAAATGTGTGCATTTGTGGGTATGCATAAGATATATATATATATATATATATATATATATATATATATTGGGTTGTCAGAAAAGTCACGATGTATTTTTGCATAGAAAACACAGAAAAGTATGTTATAATAACCACGCAGGAGGTGTGAGGCATCAAGCTCAGATGTGTATTGTTTGGGAACAGGGGGTGATGTCTATCAAGTGACAGAGCATGAACTAGATTCCATACTCTTGTCACCTCACATATAGTCTGTCTCAACAAGATGCTTTTAATATAACTTATGCTCAATAATCAGTTATTTTGAAAAAAAAAATCATAACCAGACACTCAGAGAAGTGGAACAACTTGCTGCCTTCAACTTTCTGCCAGATCATTCAAATCAGTAGAGAGGACGGCATAATTTATATCAATGAACTAACATTTTGTTTGTCCATACCTATTCCCCTGTTGGTATCTTTATCAAAATCTGTATCTGTTTTCTATTTGGCAGTCAAAATCATTAAAGCTAGATATGCAGAACTGGCATCTGTCAATGAGATAAGAATAGTACTAACACTGTAAGACCGTGGGGAAAACACAGTATGTTATGTATGTTAGATGCCTAAAATAGTCCTGGGCAACTCTGTAAATTAATCATTTCACTAGGATTGTTTATTATTATTAAAGTCAAAGTTCATCAATCAATTGCAGAGACATATAAGATTAAAACAATAATGACTCTGGTGGCCCAGGGGTTAAATCTCAGCTCTGTCACTGCTGCTCAGCCTCACTTTGATCCCCTGCCAGGAAGGTGACCCACATGGCACAGCAGATCTCTCCTGTGCTTCCGTCAGCAGTGTATTTCAGTAGATCTGCCTGTTCTGCTCCTCACTCTGTCTCTGGTAAATGTTCTTGCCTCCTGCCCCTCTGGCCTATACCCCAGTTCTTCTATGCAAAAAGAAACAAAACACAGAACTCTGCTCTAAAAAAAAATCATTTCACAGCTAGAGAAATGTGATTAAACACTTGTACTCAAATAGTAGCAGCAGAAATAACATCTGGGAGCTTTTAGAAATTCAGACCTATTCTATTTGAGCCTGCATTTTTTTTAAAGATTTATTTATTTGTGCATACAGAACTGGGGTACAGGCCAGAGGTTGAGCCTGCATTTTAATGAGATTCCTGGGTGAACTGTGAGCATGTGCAAGTTTGAAAAGCGCTGTATTGGAGTACTCCAAGGTTTCTGCAGCGACTCTTGGGTCATTCGTATTTTGGGTAGAACTGACACAAAGGCAGTACTGACTCAGAAAATATGTTCTTACTTACTGATAGTGATTGAGCCCTAATCTGATCCACACAGAGTAGGTTGTGGGGTAGTGGGTAGTGACCAAACATACCTAGACAGTAGAAGACAGTGCCATCTGAACCAAATGATATGCTTTGTGCAAGGGACTATGGGCATGCACATCAACACTAATACATCCGAGATCCTCATGGAGCAAGGGAGATTCCAGAGCTGTTCTGGTACACTTGAGGGGGTGGAACTAACACAATACAACACTTTAAAAGAAAAGTGACACCATTAGGAAAGCTGCACTCTTAAAAAAGGCAAGATAGGACTGAACATAAGGATGAGAAGGAGTCACTTACATTAACCCAGGGATGCTCGAGGACTTGTATGGCTGAAAATCGCTGATCAACATTGACCAACAGCATCATGGTAATGAGCTCCTGTGAAGGTAAACAGTAATCCCATATGTCTTACTTTTAAGGTAAACATACAGATGTTCTCAAATGCAGAACATGCAGAAGTTTTTTTTTTTTTGGTTCAGAAAAGCTTCTAAACCTTAAATATATCAATTCAAATTACTCAAACTACCTAAATGACATTGTCAAAAGTTCAAATAAAGATAAACATATGGAATTATAAATATATATCTTATATTTGATGGAAAAATTAAATGAAATTCATATTAAAATCAGTTCCATAAACATGTTAATAAAGAAATATAAGTTAATAAAGAAATACAAGTTAAAGAATTAGTTTGCCTTAAGAATTTTGCTCTTTAAAGACAGATTCAAAAGTTGTTTTAATATAAGAATCACATATTGAAAACTTACACTTTCACTTTGACAGCTGGAAGGAAAATGGATTTTTCCTCTAATTGAAACAAGGCATATTTAATTTTGAAAGCAAGAAGTGAGAAAAACTGACAGAATTGCTAGTAGCTAGTTGGTAAAATAGAAAATATTCTTTAGTAGCTAAAAAATTCTATATAAATTAAAACTGTTTGAAAAAAATATCAGGTCAATCAATCCAAATAAAATAGAATTTTAAAAAGGTAAATGACCTAATATTTCTTAAATTAGTGAAACTTCCTGATAAGTTTTAATTAATTGGATTAATTAATAAGGAAAGCAGAGCTTGAGTTTTAATGATGAATTTGTCCACTCTGGGGTTAGCTGTCCCCTTATAACAAAATGGTTAGATTCATATAAATTCCTTATATTTACAACTCTGAGTATCACTCCATGATGGGGATAAATTTATTTCCGTTGATAGAGAGATGCTACCTATACTTTTAAACATGGGTCAGGACTTATTAAGGCAACTACTGTATGTGATACACTTTGCCAGTTCCCAAGAGGGTGTAGGAGATGGTTCTGTCAGGAACTTTGAACCCTCACATTAGGGAGTGACTAATTTGAGAGCTGGACAGGTTCCTGAGGGGTCTGCTCATAGGTGAAAATACCTCCACTTCCATCTCTGGAGTTGTGCACTTTCTCTGTGACTACTCTCAATTTCCCATAGGCCTACAGACATATTTCTAGACAGTCCTAGGAAACGAGAGACGTGGGCTCAAAATGCATCATTTTCTGTGTAAAGTAGCCAGGCCAATGGAGTCAGTTCTTAAATCTAACTCTTTCTCAGGACCACAGAAGGAAAGGCATATACATTGAATAGTCAAAAGATAATTATTTCTCCATATGGACTTTTCAAAATTAAAATCAATGCTTGGAGACTGAAATTTCAGGAATCATTTAAAAAGTTCTCTTTATATCTTATGGTCTAATTTTGTCTTAGTGTGACATTTTTATAATTTTATTAAATGTTTATTTTTAGGTAAATGGATCAAAGATCATATTCCTTATCCCCCTCTGGTTATCAATCTTAGCTGTCTTTCAAGGGCCACATGAAATCACAGCTTCTTCATGATGACTTTCTTAAGCATTTCGACTCATGCTACATTCCTCTACTGTGACTAACTGTTTAATTCATTCGCTTATTTATTTCTTCATTAATTAAATATATGTTGAACACTGGTTTTGTACTTATTGATCACTATTAGGCACTGATCACATTGCAATACACAATTGACAAAAAATCCTTGACTTGATGGAATTTACATTCTAGAAAAGAGAGAATAGTGAAACAAATAAAATGTAGTTATGTATGTGGTAAGTAATTAAATAGGAAAGTAGATAGTTAAGTATAGGTAGGGTGCTATCTGGTATACCAGATGGACATAGGGGTACAAGTGCCATAGAGAAAAATAGAGAGGAAGAGAAGGTGTGGCAAGTAGGGCTTAAAAGCTAGGACTGGAAACAGGATCAGAAAGCTTCACTAAAAATTTAAATTAAAATCCATAAGAAATGAAACAACAAGCCATGCAGATATCTGAAGTGGTCTCAAGCTTGATAGGCAAGGAATAATCATAGCAATGTGATAAAACTGACAAGCGAGGGAAGCAGAGTCACTTCATAAGTTGGGATGACTATGAACAGATGGCTTGATGATTGTGAAGTCTTGGGAAACCTAGTAACTGCAACAAAAACGTGTACAGAAATTACATTTATGTAATTTGTTCCTGCAAGCAATGATCCAAAGTCAATAACCCCACTGATACACAGGTTGTAAGAAAGGAGGAAGCATTAGACACCTACCTTTGCAGAATCGGAAACATTATCCCAGTATGGAGAAGGAAAGTCCACTTGTCCCATCAGAATTTGATCAAAAAGCACCTCCTGGTCATCACCACTTCTGTTTACACGAATGAACAACAAGTAAAAAACAGCACCAAAGCATCAACTCAGAGTATGTCTCTTCATGCTAATGCATTGGAACCCTTCCTTTCCCCATAAATGCGTAAAATATTTGTCCCTAAGCAATTCAGAATGTCAATATGGAACTGTTTTTTTTTTTTTTAAATTAAGAACGAATGAGGTTTTAAATTATATGAGGAAGATTTATGGAAGGCATGTAAATTAGCATGCACAACATGGAAAAAATAACAGGCATTGCAAGTAAAGTTCTTATTAGGTCCCTGTTGCAGGCTGCTCTGTGCAAAAAGGCCAAATGGATCACTTAGAGAATACAGGAATGCTTTCTTGCTGCTGAATAAAAGATTGCTGCCCATACCCACGGAAAGGAGGAAAACCACATAGCAGAATGTAAGTGATCACACCAGCTGCCCAGGTGTCCACCTTGAGGCCATATCTGGAAAAGTAAGCAAGGTTAGAATTAGTAAAGTCAGGCCAGGACAAATTATGGGGCATGGCAAAATAGATCTACTCTAATTCAAGGAGAGCACCATCAAAAAGAAATTATGTTAAGCACATAAATAACAAGGAGATAGAAGTTTAGGCTTTTATCCAAATATCAGAAAGTGAAAGATATCAACACAGGGTTTATCAAAAGCTAATCAACTGTATGAATGGAATGGACCTTTGAGACTAACTCACTAGCTTTAGAAATAATAATTACATATAGGACATTTTCCAGTTTGTAAAGTAGCACATACATTATCTTAACACTGTTAAGTTATAGGACGAGTACTTATGTCTATTTTAAAGAAAAGTTTCAGAGGGGTAAATAATTGTGCTCAAGAAGACACAATTAGTGGTTGAACAGGGTCCACCCAACGTCTTCAAGATCTCATCCAATCCTCTTCGCCGCCACACACCACTTCCTCCCTGAAAGCCATCTGGGGGTTCATAGTTGACTGTGTCCTTGAAGGTGGTCAGGCCTGGCTTTGCATGTGGGCTTCCAACGTACTTGAATTTGATGAGTAAAAAAGTTCTTTTCTAATACATATCACTTTATGGATTTCCATTCTTAACCTTTCATTTTTCTACCTTTCCTGTCTATGATACAAGCAGAAATATGATCATACTTGATCACATCAGAGGATACAACCTAGACGGCTAGCTGTAAGTCAGTTCTGCTAATAGAAGGAAAAAGGAGGGCTGCCTTCTTTCGGTGTCCCACCCTTCTTTATCCTTCTAAGAAGAACAGCACCTTCAGAGCCCACTATGTTCCTTGGTAATGAATGAGGCTCTTCGCAAAGAGACTTGGACTGCAGGAAAGTGAAGAGCTTACATGGTACTTCAACCATCAGAGTTTGACTTTATACATGTGCAAAATGGTAATCACCCCATCTACTGGAAGAATAAGAATTAAATAAAGGAGCTTAGAGCCTGGTCTAACCGCTGTACATAGATATTCCCAGCAACCCAAGGGTGTACTCTACAGATAATCAATGAACCATTAAGAGAACCAAGAAGGGATTGGGCTTGAGAAATAGCAGAAGAGAGAAATAACCATGAGACACTGTAATCATAGCACACAGCAGTGTCTGTACCTTTTATCCCCCAAATAAGTTAATTACCATCACTGTATGTTTTCCTGTTAGTCCAAACATTTTTTTTTTTTTTTACTCTGGAGTTAATAACTACTGTTCTACCCTTAACAAAAGCCAAATGGAAACCTTAAACAGGATTGCAGTAATTGGCAACCTGATTAGGGAAAATGGCTCCCACTTTAAAGTTAAAAAAAAGAAAAAGAAAAAGAAATCTGATAGCCTATTCTACCTGGGTGGGAAAAAGCAGTACTGTTTCTCCTATTCTTGAAGTAGATGGTTATTTTGTAACCCAGCACTTCAATAAATACATAAATTTACCCAGTCTCTGCAATGATTTCTGGAGCCACATATGTCGGGGTGCCGCAGACTGTATACAGAGGGCCATCAACGATAGTGGCCAGCCCAAAGTCCCCCAGCTTCAGTGATTTGCTGCCATCTTGGTGTTCATAAACCTAAAGTAAAAGTAAGTAGTGAAAGTGTCTTAAAACCAAAAGATAAAAAAAAAAAAACTGCTGAAAAAAATGGAAGGGCAATGTAGTTTAGATTTACTGTATTTATCCTCAAGTTAAAAAAAAAATCTGGCAACAATGTAAGGATATACACAGAAGAATATCTTTTTTCGATTACAGCTGAATTGGAAACATGGTGAACAAACGAGAGAGAAATTTGTTCTATAGATTATGGTAAATTCATACAAGGAGATGTTCCATGACCATTAAAATAGCGACATGGGTTTATATTTATTGAAATGAATTATGTTTGGAAAGTGAGGACAGCAGATTTCAGAAATGGTTTGTATAATGTATCTATTAAAAAAAAACTCATACAAGGAAAAATGTCTGAAAAACTAAGTGTTGGTGTGTCTGTATCTGGGTAGTATGAATTATGTGATTTTCTTTTCCTTTGGCTTATTGCACTTGATGTTTTCTGCAATTTAAGTTGATTTAAAGACTACAATGACATAGAAAGTCTCTAGTGTAGTATTTCTAATTTATGAAAACAATTACCTCTTCATTTTAGTATATTAGAAGCTTTCAAAATTTGGTTCTTTAGTAATTGATTAAAAAACTACACGTATATTAAAATACTTTATTTTCAGAGTCCCATTTCTGATGAGACCTATTTACTTTTTTTTTATTAATAATTGAAAGGGATATTAACTTTTCATTTCACCTGTGGCAATTTGGAAAGATTTATCAAGTGCAGCGTCAGCATTCTGTCCAGGTTTCCTTATTAAAGCAGTAAAAGTCTCCAGTCTTTCACCCAACAAATCAAGAAAAGGAAGCATGTGACCACAGGCAGGTCCATGCCTTTAATTCTAGTCCATGATCAAACCAAACAGATCTCCTCCAAAAACTATTCCAAAAAACTTACATTATCTCGAATTAAAGATTGAAGAACATTCAGAGTTTCTAATTCAGTACCCTCTATTGGAATCAACAAGATAAAAAGAAAATCACAGTCCAAGGCTAGTATTTCCAGCAAATGTGGTTGCCAGGAGATGCCTCAAGGAATGGTGAAATTTTCCTTGTACATGAAAAGAATTCATTGAGCAAGTGAAGGCCTACATGTTCTTCTGTTATCGCTCTATGATCATCTGCACTTGTACAGCAGTTTGAACCTCCTGCACAGCAAGGCACATCTCCACACATCAGGAGTGCCGCTACCGTTCACACGCCCTGTTGGCCTGCTTTTGAGAAACTGTAGAGGAGCTTCTCATTTCCTTGCAACATAAAGTGCAGATGTTTGGCCAGCTAAGCTGCAGTATCAGCAACGACCGTTTGGATCTAACTATTTTGGCAGCGGCAGGCAGTCAGCCCCTTCTTCTCTGGAGAGTCAGTGTCTCTTCTGGGCAGGACACATCCTTTACATGTTCTTCACATTCAGAACATGGAGGCTTCTCTGAAAGAACTCGGCTCTGATCAAGACACCCCGCGAGCAGGCACTGGAGCTATCTGCACTTGGGCTGTTAGGGCAAAGATAGCTGTGTGTGGCTTATGGATGTGGCTTTGCCCAGCTGTTGACTGAGATGGACACCCCTTTCTGGTTTCATGAAGCAGCTGCCTAGCCCTGGTGAACAAGTTTGAGTTAGAGACTTTGAGGCACCAGAATTGCAAAACACAGAGTTGTCCCCAACCTAAACATTTTCAGGCAAAAAAAATCCCTCCGTTGTAGTCTCACATGCCAGCCTTTTGGGCCATCCAAATGACAAGCGAATGTTTTTCATGAAAAGAAATCTGAGATGGAAACATCTACCAGAGCATCTAGTTTATCTTCCAGACAGAACAGAACTGTTTACTTCCTTAATTCCATTTTGTTAGGAAAAACTTTCTAAGCTGCAAAACAATCTCTTGCTTTGATGCTCTGTTAGGTCCAAACATTCACGGGGCATGTTTTGTAAGGTGGTGCAGACTTCAATCTACACAACTCCATTTATACAGGAATTTTGTGACTTTTCCCTAAGCATACTATCTGTAATCACCTAACTTTATTCAAGAGTTGGATAAAAACAGATGTTGGTAGATGTGGTTATAAGTTACATTTTCATTCTGAATACGTCCAGCTAATTCTCTTGGAAGGAGCAAAGGTGTGGTTTTTGTACACCTATATTTTAATAGAAATTTCATTTAATATGTAACTATATGCTAATTTCATTTAATATAGCAGCGCATAATAGTTCAAAATTTCAATAACTCAGGAAAAAAGCATTATAAAACTATCTGAAATAAAGAAGATGGGATAATCTCAGTGTAATAATTCTTCTAAAATACACCCAATACCATTTAAACAGAACATATAGACTCCATTATTTCACTATTCTTTTTCTTTCCCATTAATCATTTCTATATGTCCCTTATTTTGTTTGAAATTAGTGTAGGAGAATTTTCAAGAACACAAAGAAGTTTACATGATGTTTATGAGAGACAATAAGAGCTTAAACACAAAGCCCTATTCCAGGTAATTGAAAACATTTCTAGACACAGTGCATTAGAAATGCTTCAGCAAAATGTTTTTGCAGGTGAATAACTGTCCAGACCTTTATTTCGGGACTCTGTTTAACTTACTGTCAGGCAAGGCAGGAAACAAGGTTGCCTTGGGTTTTCCTCTGTCAACACTTTTTGAGAAAGTTACAGAAGAATATATTCCAGGGCTTCCTCTCCTCAAAAATGAGGACATGTTTCCTAAGTGGAATAAGGAGCCTGTTTCATAAGTGGGGCTCACCATCAGTGCCTGCGGGAACCCAACACACACTCACCCTTATTTCTTCCTAAGCCAATAACAGAGGAACATGACTGAGGCCATTGAAAAATGCAATTCTGATTTTCACACACATACACAAAACTTAAAAAGAAAAACATAATTAAAATTTTCCTTAAAATCACAGCTTGCTAAATACATCTGTTTCAAACACACTCATACGCACATGCGCGCACACACACACCCGCTCAAAATCATCTGCAGGAAGGATTTTACCAACTGGCAGCTATAAATTCATTTTGAACTAAGTTTTTAATTAAAAGTTAAGAATCAGAAAAGCCTCTAACGAGTTTACATCGAAAGTGGCTCGTCCTTGGCTTACACGGCTCTGAGTTGCTCCTCAGCTACTCGCCTCACCTGACCGTCAAACAGAAAGAACATGGCCAGACTACAGCCCAATGCAGCAAGTGGGGTTCTGGTAGAAGAACTTTGGGGAGACTACCGTATTTTAGAGCCTCCATAAAACAAGACCCACACTTGAGGTGAGAGTACATTAATTGTCAATCAAAGGGTATTCTCAACATGTGATACAATTTAATGTTCCTTCCAGGTCCTTTAAATGCTATGGATGTTTCCCCACATTTTAAACACCGAGGGGCTATTAAAGAGATGGGGATTAGTGCAAATTACCCGGTATGTAGTGCTTTCACTGTTTTAACTAAGCAATAAAACTGTGTAATTGTACAACACTAATTGAATGCAGCTACACATAATTGTGAGCTGCCATATGTATCCTATTACCATAAAGACTGTCAGTATTTTGTAAGCTACTCTTGTGATCATTGCAGATGGCTACAGTCAGAGAAGTTGTTCTCTAGGGTTTATTATATGGCTATAAAGACATCCCATGATTTGACAGACTAAATGTGTTAAATGACAACAATTATGAAAAAGGTTCCAATTAAAAGCTGAAGCATGTCCCAACCAAGAATAGATATAGTGAAAGGTCAGGTATGTAGACTTTGGCACACTGGTATTTTACACTGGATTTTTCTCTTTTAAATAAGAATTCTATTTTTGTTTCTTTTCATTTGCCTGGGATTTTGCAGGAACTTTAACTCGCTGAACAGTAGATGTTTGGGCATATGCCCGAATTCCCTCCGATTGGAAACGGAGACCATTTGGAAAAGTTATTTGAAAAAGTGAGAGTTAATACATAATCATAAAATAATTGTTCGTGAAACAAGTGTCCATAAAATAATATGAAAATTCACTAGTAACCTGAACCCAGTAAATGGTTTTTGAAACTCCTGCAATATAAAGCTAAAACTGATTTATATAACAGATGTGTTGGAACAAACGTAATTCTCAATGTTCTTATGAATTGAAGGATAAATAATCCCACTGAAAGCTAGTTGATTAATCATTAGGAATCACTGAAAGATTCTTCAAACAGGAGCTCAATAGTTTCTAAAAATTATTTCACTGAATAGAATTGAACTAAAGTGGCAAGAAACCAAGAAAAATGTCAATTAACTTGTAGCAAATATAGCATTTTACAAATACTGATTTCTTTCCAGTCATGATATATGACCTTTATGATGCTTCCTAGGGAAAATGGATTATTAACTGTACATCTTTAATCTTTAAGAAGTAAACTAAAAGAAAATTCATGCAGGGAATTACTATGCAAAATACACTGTATAGTACACATACTTTAGAATTGTTAATTAATTAATAATAGGTAGTAAAGTAAATCTTAAACCAAACTCATTTTACATTGACATGTAAAATGTTAATCAAAAGTTAAATGAAATCATTAACAAGAAAAGTTGTATAGAAGTCAGAAGAGTGATAACAATACTGGAGAGAAAAATAAAATAGTTTTTCCAAGTATCATGCTAGAAATAGCTGGGAAGATGGAGATTTGAAAAGAGCCTCCAGGAAACCTGATACTCATCCTCATATTAAAATGGTCACATACATTGCTAAAAAATCCTATTTAGCTGTAGTGAAAAAAAGATGAAACATGTACAGTTTGATTCTATTAGTAATGGTATATCCTAAATGCTAAAACTGTGGGGAATTCCACATTATTGCACATTTTAAAAATTACAGTTAGGTTTTTTTTATACAAGTAATATCCAATATGTCATTACAGGAATATTAGAAAAAATAATTATAGACAAATAACCATTGTTTTCTCATTCTGGGTCATGTATTTCCAGAACTTCCTTTCTCTCTTTCCTGCCCT